TTTAGGGTGAAATGGAATTTCATGTTCAATGCATTTTTTTCTCTTTTAAAGTTCTTTTGTAATAAGTAGAAGGGATGTCAAAGAAATACCAGAATGGAACATGTATTTATTGTAAAACTCTAATTGCTATAATTTTTACAAAATATCTGATAGAAATCTGTTCATGAATATAAAATGCTCACTCTACTTTGTGTTTATCAATGTTAAGAATTTGGAAAAATCTGCCTTTACACACTCATAGCCTCATCGTAAAAAAAAATTCCTTCAGCTACATAGATAAAGACAATCTAGAAAAGATCTATCATGTGCAATAATTGTTAGTTTTACAAGAATTCCGAAAAATGAAATCACAGATTTCTGAAATAACTGCACCTGGAAGAATGTGAATAATTTAGGTCGAAGATCAGCATCCTTTAAGGTAGAAGAAATATCAGAAGACTGGGGCAAAAGAAAATCATGAACTTAGCATTTGTAGAGACGATATATTTATAGGTATGCCAAACATGACTAACAGGAAGGGAAATGTAGACTTAAGCCTCACAGGCAAAGAATACCTGTGGTTTATGATTTGAAAAGGAAGAAGATGAAGCTGCTGGCTTTCACTTCCAGAAGTCAGATGCTTAGTAATATTCTATTTGTGTACATACTTTACAGGGGGTTATGGTGCCGTGTCCGTAGGTGTCGTCTTGTTACTAGTCTTTATATTGCTAACTTAAAGGCCTTCTCTGATGCTTCAGACCCACCAACAGCTCTTCCTTCAGGAGAAAAACAGGCAGTCTCCTCCCTTTACAGCCACAGAAATCCATGCAGGATCTGTCAGTTATGATCCAGTTCTAACCTGATGGCTATGAGTTTGAGGTGTTGTGGTTTTTACTTTGTTTCTGTTTGGGGGTATTTTTGGTTGTTTGGGGTTTTTGGAGCTTTTTAATGCATACTTTTCTAGGTGCTAAAATGAAATGCAACAGCAAGATTTTGGTGGAAAACTACTTAGCTTCTTTTATACCTGTTCTTCAGTGTGTGGATTTAGGCGCTGGTGAGGTCCGCCTGATACAGGCCATAGTTTTTGCAATCACTTGTTATGCATTGGAGA